GTATGTAAGACCTGAATTCCCTATATCCTGGGCGAAAAAATTCCGCTTAGAGTTGATTAAAACGTCATCGCTAAGGGCCTAGTAGGATTTCAAGCGGCGGTCATGCTCTCGTTAAGTGTCGTTTGCCTTCCTTAATCTGAACCTTTTGCTTTTGAGTCAGTCTGTCCTCTTACTTTGTCAAGGAGTGACCTACAAATGACTGTCATAGTTTCCAAGTACCTCTGACTTCTCTTGGTCAAGCGTTTCAGCGTGGAATGGAATACGATGTTGATTACTTAGATATTAACGTAATTATTCACTTCATTAATCTGCTAAAGGTTGATCAGTGCAAGGTAGATTAATTCCGTCAATCGTTTTAATAATCTTCATTTACTTCAACGAACCAATCTCATTGAATAAAGGCTCGGATTACTAACTGTGTAAAAGAAGAGATTAACCTAATGTTAAATGAACCAGTTATTAAATAAACGATATTCACACGACGGTGTTTCTCAAAACCGTGCATGTTTTGCTTTCCCTTTTAAAAAAAATTGCCCTCATCAAATGTTCGCTCTTTCTGTTAACGAATGCAAAGTGAATCGAATGTAAGCTGCTGGGCTATTTTAAACTGACGAGGTTTATTACCTGAGAAGTTTCAGTGATTGGGTGGTAGAGATAAGGTGATACCATGAGATAGTCAAGCGTTTTAGTCTACATGTACTTATCATCTCGATCAATTATGCTAGGTATCCCATTAGACTAGGATTTATTTGATTACAAGTTAACGGTGTGAGATCTTGAATTTTTATTTTAAATGTGACTAGATGTTTTTAGCCGGTTCGTCTATGCTTCGTGGATCAAATGAATAACCCTGTCAGGAACATGACGTGCCAACCCAAGTAGCATCTCAACTAATGTGAAATTGACACAATAATATTATAAGCAGTTTTTATAATCGTTTTAAAGATCCATCGTCCAATTATTTTTTAGGGAACTTATGAAATTGCATTACTGAGTTCAGATTCAGCAGCGAAAGTGGTTTTATTTCTTTTATTCTCATAGACGAGTTGATTTCTCAGTAACACAATAAATAATTAACTCCGTTTTCTCTTTCTTTGTGCCCGAATTTGTTTGGTAATCGTTGACCTTTAATGAAATACTACACGGCACGGAATTCTATCTCACAATCACTAGAACCATCATAAACAAATCATCCTTTTGACCTCCTCTTTTTCTTACTAATTTTTTTCCAGGTGAGTTCTATTTCTATCACAAAAGAATAGCTGACCAAGAGTGTGACCTCAGGACGTTTCAATTTTATTTTTGTCGAAATGTTTTCGATAGCGGTACGCCGTGAATATCGAATTTCACCGGTACGTGGTTTTTCTGAGAAACTTGGATTAATTAATGGTGGGCGTGATTGTGGCGTGTTTCCGAGAATCGGCTGGTTCGTTATTTTACATGCCAAGGAAAGTTAGAGCATAGTTTCCTGTTTACAGCTAGTCCAACACGTTTTATTCTTTCCCGCGTTTTAAATCTCATTGGTCCGTGTCTGCCTAATGACATTTATGACATTTACTAATTTATGACATTTATGACATTTACCTAATGACATTTACTAGTGCGTACTTACTCAATCAGCGGTTTAACAAAGCAAATCATATTCACCGTGAGATCACTTCCGCTTTTCCAAGAATTCGATTTTTGTGACGTATGTTTATAAGAAGATGCTGAGTGAGGGGGAACACTTCTCATGCCCTTGTGGCATTTCGTGAATCAGCAAGCAAGACAGGGTTTTTTTGAGTTTTCATTGCTACTACGTCGCATTTTTCCTTCATTTTACAGCATTTGGTAGTATCAACGAGTTCCAGGTGAGTTTAGACGAACGGATATGGTTGACGTTTCGAAAGGAAAATTCTTATTTGGAAGATCCGAAGGCAGGGAAATAAAGAGCGTAGAGGAATAAGAAATTTAATTAAGTATGAAGTAGGACATTTTAATATTTAAGCAAATAAACTTCAGACGCTCTGGTTTGTTATCGAAGTGCTCTGTCACTAACCCTCCATTGCGTAGAAAATGTATTTCGAGGCAGAAATCGACGGAAACAAACCAAGAACTCGACTAGATTGTGACCGTAATCGACGTGGCATAATTTGTAATTTCCGGCTCTCGAGGCCTTTGCGTGAAAATGATTTCTGGCCCTGGAATTTAAATATGAATAGGTGAAAATTTGTGCTTATTGACCAATAACTACATCTGATTCAGCAGTTTTTTATCATGCTTTTCAGAGAGCACAAGAATATATGCCTTCACAATTATGCATTTAAAAAATGCTTGTGTCTGTGCTAGTGTGTTCTATTAATAATGAAATCAGCGACCAAATATCATAAAGCAAAACGCCTTACTCTTGATCAATCAACTAGGCATCCCATTAGAATAGGATTTATCTGACTACAAGTTAAACGGAGTGAGATCTTGAATTTAGCTGGTTGAAATGAATAACCCTGTCAGGAGTACTGATGATGTGCCAACCCAAGTAGCAACTCATGTAATGTGAAGTTGACACAATCATATAATACGCATTTTTATAATCGTTTTAAAGATTCAGCGTCCAACTGTTTTTTAGAGAACTCATGAACTTGCAGTATTGAGTTCAGATTCAGCAGGGAGAAAGTGATTTTATTTTTTTTAACCTCATAGAAGAGATGATTTCTCAGAAGCACAATAAGCAATTAAGTCCGTTTCCTCTCTCTGTGCCCGAATTTATTTGGTAATCGTTGAGCATTAATAAAATGTTCACTACACCACACTGAATTATATCTCAAAATCGTTACAACTGTCATGAAGAAAACATCCTTTTCACTTCCTTTCTTTCTTGCTTACTTTTTTCACAAAGGTTCTATTTTCTTTGATAAAAGAATAGGTGACCAAGAATGCGGCCTCAAGACGTTTCAATTTTAATTTTGTCGAAATGTCTTCTTTAGCGGTACGCCGCGAATATCGAATTTCACCAGTACCTGCTGTTTCTAGGTATCTTATGGGTTTTCTGGGAAACTTTAAATAATTAATACTAGGCGTGTTTCCGAGAAAGCTAGTTCGTTATTTTGCATGCCAACGAAAATTAGAGCATAGTTTCCTGTTAAAAATAGTCCAACACATTTTATTTTTTCCCCGTGTTTTAAATCTTACGAGTTCGTCGTCTGCCTAATGATATTTATTTTTAACTAGCGCGTGCTTACCCAGGCAGCGGTTTAACAAAGCAAATAAATATTCACCATGACCTCACTTTCGCTTTTCCTAGAATTGGATCGTTGTGACGTATGTTTATAAAAAGATTCTGAGTAAGGGGAATCTCTTGTCGTGCTCTAGTGGCATTTCGTGAGTCGCCAAGCAAGACAGCTTATTTTTTTCAGTTTTCATTGCTACTACGACGCATTGTTCCTTCCCTGATACGACGTTTAGTATTATCAAAGAGTTCCAGGTGAGTTTAGATGAACGGATATGGTTGACGTTTCGAAAAGAAAATTCATATTTGGAAGATCCGAAGACATGGAAATGAAGAGCGTAGGTGAATGAGAAATTTTATGAAGCATGGAGGAAGGCACTTTAATATTTAAGCAAATCAACTTCAGACGCTCTGGTTTGTCATCGAAGTGCTCTGTCACTAACCCTCCATTGAGGAAAAAGTCGACTGAAACAAACCAAGAAATCGACAAGATCGTAACCGAAATCGACGTGGCATAATTTGTAATCGCACTCTTTCGAGGCCTTGAAAATGATTTCATGCAATTTCGGGCGCTCTAGTTTGTCATCGAAGTGCTCTGTCACTAGCCTTCCACTGCGTTGAAAATATGGTTCAATGCAGAAATCGACTGAAACAAACAAAGAAATCGACTAGATCGTGACCGTAACCGACATGGCATTATTGTAATTTCACTCACTCGAGGCCTTTGCATGAAAATTATTTCTAGCTCTGGAATTTAAATATAAATTGATAAAAATTCGTGTTTCTTCATTAATAACAACGTCAGCAATTTTTTATCATGCTTTTCAGTAAGCTTAAGAATATGTGCTTGCAGAATTATGCCTGTAAAATATGCCTATGCTTGTCCTATTGTGTTATATTGATATTGATAGTAGTATAGGACTTGGGGCTCTAAAACCAAAACGCTAAAAATGGTAAAAAATCAAGCTTTACCAAAGCAATTTATATCATTCTTCAACCGATTCGCAGCGATTCATTTTCAATAGGCTCAGGGCGACTTGATTTTCACCCTCTATATCA